TATGAAGACAGCCACGGATCTCCCTCATACGAGGGATCTCGAGCCGGTTAGTCGCGAGGCTACGTGGCGCATCCCCAAATGGCGTGGCGGATAGGGATTTATTCGGCCAAAATCCTGCAATCAAGTGACTAGGAAGTATATGGAAGGCGGTTAGAGTCGCCTTCAACAAATAAGCTCCATGTCCACTCTGGCAGACCCTGGCAAGCAACCCGTTAGTATATCAAGTACCCACGTCCAGAGAACAGCAAGCTATACGTGGGTATCAAAAGTGCTAAACATAGTAAAAAAAAACGGGCCTCATTCCACTGACCCCGAAAGAGTTCCGAATTTCGCACCCTTGGGTGGTGCAAGTACGGAGAGGCTGCTAAAATCTCAGGACCAATGGAAGATGTCTGGATTTGAAAGTACTATGGTGACAGACTGTACCTACAATGCACGCACACTTGCATCTGAGTCCTCGATAAAAGACTTGCTCATACAAGCAAGAAGAATACCGTACGACGTCATGGGCCTGGCCGAGACGAGACGACTCCAACCATCCAACGGAGTCTGTGACACCGGAAAAGAACTGCTCCTCGGAACATGCGACAGTAGAGGAGTCAGCGGCGTCGGTGTTCTCGTTAACACGAGTTTGTCCATGAACATTGATTCATTCGAACAGCTTACAACCCGAATCGGATGTTTACGATTAAGAAGACGTGGTTCAATTCCAACTTTGACAATATTCGTCGTTTAGGCGCCGACATCAAACTATGACGAAGAAAAACTCAAAGCGTTCAATACGAACTTGGAGAAGTTCTACAGAGAAGACTCTACATTCCTCAAGGCCATCATTGGAGAGTTCAACGCCAAGATTGTGCCAAGAAGAACGTCTGAAGAACGTCACATTGGAAACCACGGATTAGAATCGAACGAACTGGGTGAGCGACTATCTGAGTTTATCATGGCGACCAATACAATGCATGGCAACTCGCAATTCCAGAAGCCACACCCTCAGCGCTGGACGTGAGAGTCTCCCAATGGAGCGTACCATAACGAAATAGACTACATCAAAGTAAATAGAAGGTTTTGCCCAACCAAAGTCGCTGTTTTCCCCAAATTCTGCACGGGATCAGACCATTGCCTCCTTCGCGCAAGATTCTATTACTCGCGGAAAGGAGAAAAAGCCGCTTAATTCAAAACCGAAGTCCCAGAACCACCATAAACTGGGTCGTATTCATCAGTCGGCTCTTAGGAAGGTACCGTTGTCGACGACATCGATGAGGAATACGATTGGCTCATTCAACATCTTCACGTTAGCGCTATGAAAGCTGAAATTTCGAAAGTCACTAAGAGACGTCTGTCTCCAGAAACATTCGAGCTGATACGCCAGCGTGGAATCACACGACTTCCAGGTAACCGCTAACTAAAGTCTCAATTTCAAAACAATGCAGACGGGCGATAAAAGAAGGTCTTAAAAAGAGAAGGGCAGCAGTAATGTTTGAAGCTGCAGAGACTGGGAAAAGCATTCGCAAAGCCCACCGAAGCCTCGCCAGTTACAAGGCCAAGATGAATGCACTCCGACGCCCAGACGGAGCAGTTACAGCGTCCAGAAAGGCAGTGGAGAAAATCATTCACGAATACTGCTCAGATCTCATCGATTGCTACGTCTACGTTCCGTTATATGAAGTTGAGGAGGATGGATATGTTGCACTACCGGTTCTTCCTTCCGAAATCCGACATGCCATTTCGTCGGTGAAAAGTGGAACAGCACCAGGTCCGGACGGGATAAGAGAAAAACACTTGATGGTCTTTCCGCCAGTCCTCGTAAACACACTGGGTGGGCTCTTCACTCCTTACCTGTCCGAATGCAAAGTCCCTACTCAGTGGAAGACCAACAAGACCGTGTTATTGTTCAAGAACGGTGACCTGCACGATATTGGCAACTATCGTCCAATCTGCTTACTGTTTGTCGTCTACAAACTCTTCACTCGAGTCATCCTAAACAGGATTGACAGAACACTAGACGAAGGACAGCCACGTGAAGCAGGGTTTCGAAAAGGATTTAGTACGATGGACCACATCCACACGATAACAAGACTCACTGAAGTATCGCGAAAGCACAAAAGACCTCTCGGTTTCACTTTCATCGATTTACCGAAGGTCTTTGTTTCAACTGAGATAGAAGCAGTCTTGGAAGCCCTTGATAGTCAAGGAGTCCTTACTCAGTACATAAAGATTCTTCGTGAGCTATACAAAAATTTCACAACTGAGGTGTCACCATTCTACAACGATATTAACATTGACGTCAAAAGAGGTGTTAAGCAAGGCGATACCATCTCGCTAAAATTATTTACCGCCACCCTCCAGAACGACATGCGAAAATTGGAATGGGATAATATGGGATTGAAAATCGGCGGTCGGCAGTTGCACCATCTTCGCTTTGCTGATGACATCATCCTTATAACACCAAACTTTAGCCAAGCGGAACGTATGCTTGACGACTTTGACAAAACCTGTCGAAAGATTGGTCTTCGACTAAATCTCACAGAAACGATGTTCATGAAGAACGGATCGGTTTCCTATTCCCCATTCACGCTCAACGGAACGAATATCTCCGAATGCTCCAAATATGTCTATCTAGGTCGGGAAATCAATACGGTGAACGACTTAGCTCGAGAGCTAAGCAGAAGAAAACAAGCAGCTTGAGGAGCTTTCAAGAGCATCGAAGATGTATGAAGAGAACAAAGAACGCCCGACTCTGTGCCCACCTTTTCGACTCAACGGTACTTCCTGCCCTAACGTATGCGTTAGAAGCTTGATCGCTGCGTAAGCAGGATGAAAGGTCACTCAGCGCCATCGAACACGCAGTTGAAAGGACGATCCTAGGAGTATTCCGTTCCACACAAGTAAGGGATGGGAACCGAAGCTCAGATTTGAGTCAACGGTCAAAAATCAAAGATGCCGTTTTGTACGCCGAGCAGTCGAAAATAAGGTGGGCCGGACTCGTAATGCGTGTGAATGACAACCGATGGACAAGAGCCGTTAGTGGCTAGTTTCCTCGGGATGTCAAACGTACTGCAAAAGGACCACCGACCCGAAGGTCAGAGTTTTTCACAAAGAGCCTAGAAAAAAGATATGATGCTCAACGAGTCCCTTGAGCGAGCCGAACCCATTTTGTTACTCTTGCACGCAGCGGAGAAAAACGGAAGATTTACCGGCGCTCGCTCGAGTCACTTGATTATCAACGGGACTACAGGCGATACAGATGACAGGTGATGAAGACTGAACACATATGGTTAAAACACGCACATAAGGTGCTATGTTAAACTATTATATGTAGGTAATTTTACTGCCTATCTCTCCGGCATGTAAGGACGTTCCACGTAGCTTCGAAAAAAGATTGTTCGAGGTGGGTTAATTGTAGAGTGGGAGGTTTGCGTAGTACTCAATGGCGCCGTCCATCAGGAAGATTTGACGCATTCTCCAACACCCTCTCCCAACTCATATAAGAATGCCTTAGCTCGATTATCTTCAAGAATGAAAAAGAGTCGACTCGACCAGTTTTCAATGAAAATCAAAAAAAAAATGAAGACGAAATCCTCAAGCAGCAACCTAAACAACACGCGAAGTATCCAGAAGACGTTAGTGATCGATGAATGCGAGAAAAACAAATCGAACGCAAGAAGTGCCTGCAGCCACACATTAGATTTGATTACGGGTTACGTACCAACTAATAACAATAATGGGGCGGATAGCACAGTGGTGGTGATGTCTGTTATCACGAGCATGGTGCTAGTTCGCTTCCGCTCTGGGCCGACCAACTCTCTCATTCCTCCGAGGTTGGAAAATTAGTACCGGACTTGTACTGGAAAAAACCGCTCTCTCCAATCCAATTGGGAGCGCTCCAGCCCGGCTATTTCAGGGCTTCAGAGAGAATCGACTCGACCAGCATTCTACTACATTCAAGATGAAATGGAAATCCTTAAGCAACAACCGAACCCAGGCGTAAAAGTGGGTGGATCTTCGTGGACAATGGATGCGAGGAAACCAATCGAATATGAGAAGTGCTGAGATCCCCGCGTCAGACATGAAGATGGATCAAATGAAATAAAATAATATTAGTAACAATATGGACAAAGGATAAAGCTGTCGGCGTCGATCAATCCCTGAGGGATGAGCCATGCATTCTACTTCATTAAGTATCGTTGGAGGTGATTGAATGTATGTCTGGCCTTTACAACGACTTGCGGTGGCCTTACAATCCATCGAGTTAGTGCTGCTATCCTTTCAGACAAGTCTGGAACCAATTTATCGACCCCGGAAAGATAAAGAGCTTGGTGGGCTTTGGGCATGGGGGTCAAACCCGTATGTATTCCAGGGCACCTCCGAGCACTGCGCTACACGCGCAATAGCAATGATAATAAATAATAATAACAACTTTTCATTAATTGCCTCTTATCATTTTTCACGGCAGGATATGATGTGATAGACAACCACTACGATGCTGAGATATTTGCGAAAATTGGACGCCAGGCCACATCGAACCGTTGTTACCCATTCCCGGGGCTCGAGTGTTACGAACGGCACCACTAAGGCCCATGCTTTGCCTTTCCTTCAGATTTTTTCAGTACCTTGAAGGCACACCAATAAGCTCCATCCGTCCAGCCGCTCTTCCCGATCTCCTCAATGGGTCTCGTTGGCTCGCGGAAATTGCAATTTATTACACTTACGAAGCACTGCCTTTTAAAAATGTTTTATACAATAACCGAGCCATGAGGATTTACCCAGGCTCTGCCGCACAAAGGTTTACTGATAGCAGGCTTCCGGGTGGAAATATCGAATTGATTCTCGGTTTGTGAAAGCATGTTGTAGATGAAGCACCGCTTACACATCGCACTTTCACTGATGCGAAAACCTGAGAGAAATGATGACGTAGTAAACCATTAGAGAGAGGTGGTGGTAAAACAAATGAGTATGTGATTAGAAAAGTAGAACAAAGTGTAATAAATATTAAAACTCTATTTAAACAATGTTGACCCACCAGATGCTGCTCGTAGAATCCAATAACATTCAACTCCTTCTGTGAACCCGTTTGGATAATTTGGGCTAGTAATATATTGAGGAATTCTGTGAGCCTATGAAGAACTTATTAATTTATAAATCAGAAAAAGAAGGGAAGCACTCACTGATCACATGTAAAGCTCATTAAAATGTTAACATTAAAATCGCCCTAGTTATCATCTAATTAAAGGACGATTAGACAAGAATGAATTGGTAAAGACTAGAGTTTGAATAGGCTTTGTACGTCAGAAGAAATGATTTTTGCTCATAAAACTCCACTTTATGAAAAATATACACCAGTTACTAATCGATTAACCTTCTATACATTAAGCCTAACTGGCCTATACTGTATGGGCCTACCATCAATACGCCACCGCATGCTCCAGTTGAGCGTTGTACGGTTTCACAGTACGATCCAGTCAGGCCTTCTGGACAGGCGCATATTGAGCAATCTTTTGGATGCGGATATCCGTTGTGGAGACAATTTATAGCTGGACAATGATCAATGCAACCGTAGGCAACATTGATCTGTGAACAAAAGTCATTAATTTCAAGCAAAGAGTCATCTAGAAATGAAATCATAGGAAAAGCATTCGATAGGGAATTGTACAGACCGCTTGAAAATCTAGAAAAGATGGACCGGCGCGTTGACCAATAGTAGATTGCTGTCCACGCTCAAGTGTGCGTATTGTTGGGGTGTATGGATCGGATGCGAATCCATACGGGCCATAATGCATGACAGATCCTAGAAATGATCTAAATTTCTGTTTACATCCTATCCAATGTTCAATACATTGCTTCTAAAAGGAATTTTGCTTCAAATTTCAACAATAGCGCAAACTAATCTTCAAAATTAGTTCACATTTTATACATTCATAAGCTAACACCAAATTCTCATCAACCTCTACAGAGCTGAGGTTTTGACGATATTGTCTTCTTCAGTGCTATAAGAAGAAGAAATCATCCTGAGTCATGGAGCTTTGTCAGCTGAGGTCCTTTCACTCGATGAGTGATCCGTTCTGGAAGATTCGACTCGATGTGACCTCGAAGTCCCACATCAATAAGAAACAACTGCTGTGGGCATTCGACTTGCATCATCGTGGGTCTGAAGAAGGAGATGACGCCAAAACACTGGCTGTCCTAAAGGCTTCAAGCAACCTCGCGTACGCTTATCAATAAACCATCATGTGAAATAATCAATATATATATATATATGTATATATATTCGGCGATTGAAATTATAGGAGAAAATGTAACTGTACCGAATCATAGTTTTTCACGCTTTTTCAGTTGAAAAGAAAACCATAAAAACGGTGGAGACAAAAAGATATCTCCATTATTTTATTTCCTGCAGACTTGCACTTTAGACTAAGTGAATGTTTAATTTATTGGTGCGAGGTGAGTCGTGTGTGATGCTCACGCTTCTTGGCAAGGTATTCGATATGTGTAGTACGTGATACATTTCCTTCCACTCGTTTAATATTGCGCATAGATGTATTCACTCATTGTGACGTTAACACGAGGTTGACAAATAAGAACTTTATTGTGCTAGCGTTTCAGCACCTTCGCCTTCCTCAGAGCAGACTTGCTCCAAGTGGGTGGTCCACAGTTCTTCATCCTCGCGAAATGAAAAATTCTACTCTCCAAATATCTTTGTGTAGAGTTTTTTTTTGTTGCAGATTTTGTAATTGTTTGATAACTTATCTAACATAGATGTTGTAACCATATTCCGAGCATGTTTACTGCCGGTATTTTAACTCGAAGTTGACAATCATTTCAGTTCCAACCCATATTGTGAATCAAGGTCATTGCATGAAATAGGTGGGTATGAAATTTATAGGAGTAGGTAAACATAACCGCAAAACCTAAATGAATGCTGACTGCAATGTGTATGTATACTGGACCAGAAGAACATATATCAAATAGAATTCCCAGGTACCCATAGAGCGATAAAGCCAAGCCTGTTCTTTAATGCTGAATTGTTATCAACCCCCTCAATCTTAAGTTCTCCAATTATCGAAAAACCGGCGAGCTCCTGATGACATCGAAGTGAATGTCGTCCTATTTATTCGCCGAACAAAATTGGGCGTAGACACCAGTGGGTTAAAGATCAACATAAAAAGGTTCTCAGATTTACTTAAACAACTACTAGGAAAGTGAAAATTCAATTAGACCTGTGTCGTAAGGAAGACCATAGGTTTCCGCATGACTTGGACCGATTGGTTGAAAATTGTTCCACCGACTTATCGGTATATTGTTGTAGTTCACAGAGATGTGTTTTTCCTTAAATGAGAAAAATCTCGCAAATAGCTTCATAAAAAAGCAAAAAACTGTGAAGCGTTGAAAAGCAGTCAAAAAATAGAGGAAAAAATGTGAGCAGCACCCGATCACCTTAAATGGACCATCCGTAGATCGCTGTTTTTAATTATTTTTGGAATAATTTCGTAGAGTATCGCTTCCTACCTGATCTGGACGTGCTTGTTCATGGAATATTCCTAAGGCATGACCAATTTCGTGGCTTATTATACCGACAACATCGCAGCCAGGTGTGGCTATTGAAATTCCCTGATAATAATAAGTAGCATAACTTGGTAATACTGTGAGAAAATTACTACCAACTGTAAATTTAATGTCCTTCTTCGACAGTTATTACCATTATTCTCAGCTTTGCATGGTAAGCATTTTTTTTTATAAATAAAGGCAGCGTGATCAGCACTTATTAGATTTCTAATTTTTGAAGTTTAAATTCTGTTAACAATATTAACAGTTAGAAGAAGGAGCGGGTAGGAGGTAGTAGCTATCTCGTTCATTATCCGGGCGGCTCAAGTTATCCACGTTCTGGTTCGATCCAGATCCGCACCCACCAAACTTTTCATCCCTGTGGGGTCGGACAATTGTAACTCTGAGACAAAATCACGATTTCTAATCCGTGCAGGAACGCTCCAGTATCGCTATCTCAGGATCGCAGGCAGAATTGATTCCACCAGCATTAATCGACATTCGTTACTAAGACGAAGAAACCCTAAAGGACCAGTTTCTTCCGAATCAACATGTGAAAAAAGTTCGAGAACATAGCTGATGGTGAATATGAGGAATGGGATCGAGAGCAAGGAGTGCTGGGATTCACGAAGTGTGATACATCTGATGCCGGGTCGTGTAATAAAAATAAAATAAAAATGTTAAATTTGTGTGAAGTTCTAAAGCACAGTACCTCTCTTGGCTTAATGAAGTAATTTCATTCGTAGACAAAATCTTCTATCTTCATATTAGTCATGTCTAACGTGACTGGTTGTTTTCAAGTATGATGTCGAGCCGTCAGCTGGCAGCTTATTGGCTTGTGCCCACAAGTGTTGAAAGTAGTAGAGAGACAGTGCCATCCGAGAGTCCAGATAAAAATAAGATAACGCCAGAAATCACCGCCATCCAACCTAGTAGCAAGATGGCAGACTTCATTCCAATTCAGAAGTGCCAGCGACTGCTTGCGGTAATGACGTGATAAGACCCTCGCACGTTCGTCACTAGAGTCAATGGAAGAAAAAACTTTCACGGCCAGATAATTTCTAGCGTAGTGAAATTTGTCGGCTCGGACGATTTTTCGATGATACATACTACTCAATTATTTAAGTATACAAGGGAGAATGTGCAACAGCAAGAACTTATGTTGGTAATACAAAGAAAACCAAATACATTACCTATCTATTAAGAAAATGGAGTACTCAACGACAAAATACAAGGTGTAAGGCTGCATACAACACCACTTTCTGGCCCTTCATCTCTCCGGGGTCAGTAAATTGGTACCAGACTTGTCTGTGAAGATATCATCATTGGCTCGATACTTTTTTAGGCCACCGCGAGTCATTGTAAAGGCCAAATGTGCATTCAATCAGCTTCAACGATGCTCAATGAAGTTGAATTCATGATGCATCCCTCAAGGACTGATCAACGCCGAGAGCTTCATCTTTTTATCCTTTTATAGACTCTAGTAAATTAATTTTTTATTCGGTGAGCCTCCTTTAAAAAGTTGACTATATTCGCTGGTCTTTACGCTGTAGGTTTAACATATCACGGAATATTGCCACTCTTCTCCAGCGTTCCTCCACTTGCTCACTGCCTTTCTATTGTTTCTGTAAGCTTCCTAGACCAATCGTTTCTTTTCATTCTGCTCTTAAGCGAAGCTTTTCGCCATGCTTACTTCTCGATTCAGATAGACATAGCTGCAGCATCCGGAGGCGATTGCTCGTTTTACACTGAATAGAACAACAAACGAAAACATAGCTCACGAAACTTATTTTCTTGGAAATTAATCGAAGCTTAGTCGTTCTATAATCGTCATAGAGTTCGACGACTTTTCCGCCTGTGTTGTTGTTTGTGTTATAAGGACATTCTCATCGATAAAGTGGTGTAGTTTGGACATGAAGAATTTCACTTTGGCAGCAGACAACTTGCTGGGAAAGTGATTGTTATGAAATTATGTAACTATAGTTGCAAAGCCGTATACATTGTGAAGAAAGTTAAAGAGTGAGCAAAACTTTTCCGGTTTTTCGTTAAGGACTCCCATGATCGCCTTCTCTTAATTCAATCAAAACTCTTATACAGGACAATAAAAATGATGCATAGCATTCTCTTGCGCTTCTGCGATACTTTAATGAATTTACTTAGCACTCCTGTTATCGCTTCTGGCTAAAAAATCTGCCAAGTAATTTATGAAGACCGCAGCCAATATCTCTATGAAAATTAGCCTTCGGCTCTTCAGACATTTAGGTCCAATCTTATCAGAGTCAAACACTTTGCGGTTCTCACCAAAACGATTGTATGGCAGATGATGGAGGAAAAATCCATGAGAGGAAATACTCATCCGTGTAGATCTGTTGTGGAAGCAGATGGGCGTAGATTTTAAAGAAAACGAGAAAAAACCTCGTCGATGATTTTCTCCGCTGTCGTTCTGGATTACAACAGAACATATGTGTGTAACATTAAGTGGTATAAAAACTAAAAAAGCTCTCGGCGTTGATCAATCTCTGAGGGATGCGCCATGTATTCGACTTCATTAAGTATCGTTGGAGGTGATTGAATGCATATCTGGCCTTTACGATGGCTCAGGGCGGCCTGCCCATCTAAAGAGCCAGTGCTGCTATCCTCTCAGAAAAGTCTGGTACTAATTTGTAGACCTTGAAGAGATGGAAGGCTTGGTGGGCCTTGAACGTGAGGAACGACTCTACGTGCGTGTCGCAGTGGCGCCTCCAACCACTGCGCCACACGCGCTCATTAAGTGGTATAAAATAACTATTATGCGTAGTGAAACAATATAACAACATTTATAATAATCGCAATTCTTAACTTTTTACTTACCGACTTATTTCTTAGAGCAGGAGATTAAGCAACCTCAGCTTAACTGGGTTCAATGCCGATATGTGCCCACCAGATAATTCCCGCTGAATAGTGAATGCCGACGAAACCGTTCACCCGTATCACCTGTTGTTCCGTTGAACGTCGAGAGACTCCTGCGGAGCCAGTTAATCTTCCATTTTTCTCTGCCACGTGGATGAGTAGCCCAGTGGGTTCTGCTCGCTCTAGAAACTCGTCGAGCAACTTTCTTGTAGGATCTTCGTGAAGAACTCTGACCATCGGGTCGGTGGTCTTCCTACAGTACATTTGACATCCCGAGGAATCCAGTCACTAACGGCTCATGTCCATCGGTTGTCATTCATACGATTACGTGTCCGGCCCACCTTATCTT